TTATATTATAAATTATACATTTTATAAATAATGGCATTAGAGATTTATGGATTATTTTTCTGGTTTTTGTATTTTATAAATTTAAATATCATTTATATAGGATCCAAAGTCAAATCTAATTTTTATATCCAATATATAATAAAAAGAGGTTTAAAAACTTATTTGAAAAAAAATTAAGTGACATTGTTTTTTTGAAGTGACGATAAAATAGTTATTACAAATTTTTTGGGCTCATCTGAAATTTTACAGATCTCAAGCTGTGTCTCTTTATCTTAATGGAATATTTTTCAATATAATAAAATTTATTTCATTCAAATCGGAGATTCCGTTGACGAGATCTAGCTTTTAGAGTCTAAACATATTTTAAGTCTTTTCAGCTTTGCTGCACTTTTATAAATGTCTTAAAGTCATATCAACTGAAAAGACACTGAAAACTTTTGCTTTTCGTCATAATTGATAAATTTTCTATATAACACAATTTATTTCATTCAAACCGAAGATTCCGTTGACGAGATCTAGCTTTTTAAGTCAAAACACATTTAAAGATTATTCAGCTTTGCTGCACTTTTATAAAAGAATTAAAACCATATCAACTCAAAACTAATGTATTATCTATATAATACAATTCATTTTACTCAAATCGGAGATTTCGTTGACGAGTTTTGCTTGACTGTTTCATTTTCTATAAATCAATATTTACTTCATTTCAATAGGAGATATAACTTTTTACTTTCAAGTCGTAAAAACTATTTAGTTTACTATATATTAAAGTTAAGATCTTTGTAATAAGTAGCTCGAGTTCTATATGAGACAATCTCAATGCGAGTCTTGAATCTTATCCCTTGATTACAATGGTTTGATATGGCTATAAGGACTCTTACCTGGCGGATAGTAGGAGCCAGCCGAGGGACTGGCCTGCTGGCTGGCCGCATGCAGAGCCTTCACATAGCTGGCCTCCTTGGCCGCCGCATAGGCGGCCTCTTGCAGTCGACTGGAGCTGGGATTCTGTGCGGCTGTGTTGGGGCTATGCATCGACGCCGACTCTTTGGAGCTGCTGCGTGCCGGTGCGGTAGAGTGCACCGGACTGCTGCCGTTCAGCTGGGGGCCGCTGGCGCTGGGCGTGCGTCGCAGCTGGTTCGAGACGCTGGCGTTGGGCGATTCCCGATGCGAACTGCTGCTGGCACTCTGATTCGAGTCGCAGCGCGGCTGTCCGTTGGCCGAGGCTCCACTGCCCATGGCCATGGCCATTGCCTTGGGTGTCTTTACGCGTTGGTTGTTGTTGTTGTTGCTGTTGTTGCTGCTAGTGAGATTTGTGGCGCCGCAATCGCTATTGTTGTTGTTGTTGTTATTATTGTGGTTGCTGTTGTTGTTGTTGTTGTTGTTGGTCTCGTAGGGCTTAAAGGTGCTGAGGGTTTTACTGTGAGCCGGCGGCAGCTGCTGCTGCTCCACGGAGCCGGTGCTAACGCTGGATGAATGACTGCTAACCGGCGAGGATTTATCGCGTGCATTATCCAGCCCGTTGCCGTTGGCCTTCGGCTGCTGCTTTGTGGACTTTTCAATATTGGCCGCCAGCAGCTTGGGATTTGTGGTATCCGCTCCGATGGCGCTGCATGTTTGTGCCAATAGCGCCAACGGACTGCTCTTGTTGTCCAGCTGCAAGACAGAGAGAAAGGCAAGAGGCAAACGCTTATTATTAGTCTCTCACTCTATTATATCGATATCGTGCCATCAGATAAGACTTGAACAATCCGCGAACTGTCGCCTGTTTTTTTTTTTTCTCTCTTTCTCGTATTTGCATTGTCTTTGTGGCCCAAATGCGTGGCACGATGCGTGATCCTAATCTGTGGCCAACACTCGCGCTCGATCATGAAACACTCTTTGAGTCTCTTTTGGCCTGCTCCCATTTCAAAAGCCCCCCTCCCCATTTGCTCGCGGCTATAATAAATAAGGGCTGCTGGCCATAAATACGGCCGACGTGGCCAAAATAAATGGAATTATGGGCCTATTAAAGCGCTTGCAAATAAAAAGATATAAAAAGTACATTAAATATGAAATTACGACGCAAATGTAGTGTGAAAGCATTTGGGCCCCATTGCGGGCCCCAAAACCCAATTGCCAAGGGGCGCTACAAATATGATAAAGCGCGCTGTTAAAACAAACAAGCAACTCCGGCCGAGGCCGAGGCTGAGGCAGCGCGAAGTGTTTAAATTATGCGACCTAATGACACAATACACAACAGAAAAAAAAAAAAAAAAAAAAACAGAATTATACATCCATAAAATCTGTCTGGCCCGGAATAATGATTTCATTTCAAACAGGTCGAGTAGTACTCCAGAAAGTATGGATTGAAATACGCACAGAGAAATGAAAAACATCTCAAATTTTTCAAGACAATTAAAAAAATATTTTAAAGAATTACAAATTTATTTATATTTATTTTCATATTTATA